CACACACACACACACACACACACACACACACACACACACACACACACCAGCTGTCGGAATCCTTCCCGTCTCTGAATTGAGACCAACTGATACAGCTGTTAACATGTACTAGTGATACAGTAAATCCCCCTTTTTCTCTCTCCCTGTCTCATTGTGTGCTTTAACTCTTCTTCTGGGTCCCAGACAACCAGCAGACAGACCGCCTCACCTTATCAGACATCCTGGCCTATTGGTGAAAAAACTGGGAAAGAAATATTACCAGAAAATAAAAATATCTCTGGTTGCATGTGTGGAATGAAAAGTGAAACTTGAAAGTGGCAGTGATGCATGGGTGAGATTCTAGGGCAATATAATTGGGATATTTTGCCAACAATTATTACTTACAGTGCTTTGTCAGCAATCTTTAGGTCCCCATTGTTACTACATTCATCTCTTTTGCCAATGCCCATCTCAGCCGAGGCCAATAACGCACCTCTCTATTGTCTTGATGATGCTCATTAATCAACTCATTTGCATTTTTATTTCCTCAGAAGGTCCCCCATCTATCATCTCCTGTACAAGTAAGATGTCCAGCATTCACACGAAGCAGATGACGACGATTTCAGCTTTATTTCTGAGTGTGTTCAAGTCATCCACTCAATCCCATCTTTTCTTGTCCAGATTTAACAGCTAGATGTCACATCCACTTGTTGAGATTTCTGTGTTTGGATCTTTAGGACGACTTTGAAGGCAATCTTGTTAGTCCGTTAAAACCCTGTTTACGTCTCACCTCTCTTCACACACACAGCCTTTGTCTCCTCTTTTTCTCATTCGCTACAAGCCTCTCATTCTGCCCCACAACGGTATCCATCCCATTTTACTCTGCTTCTACCTCCGCCCACTTCTTCTGTCCTCCTCTCTGCTTCTCCACAGACGCCCTACCTGTCCAGACCCATTCAGGGACACTTGACAAACCGATGCAGGGGACCCTTGTGTGCTTTGCTTTCTCTTTTTCGTAGCTTCTTTTTGATTCCTGATGTCAGTTCTGTCTCTCCGTCTACTTATCTTTAGCCTCCATTTCATGTTCAGAAGTGTTATTAGTCATTTTACTACTGTTTGCCAAAATAGAGGAGATACAAGTGTTATTGATGCAATAAAGCTAATTTGAATTGTGTTGAATGTTTAATATTCGATTACATGGCATTGTAATCAATACATGTATAAGAATGTGCTTTTTATCCATATCTAGACTGTAACCAGTGCCCTGACTTCTTCATTTCTTGGCTCCGACATACGTGTCAAAGATGAGACATAAGAAAAAAGGCAAAGGCAAAAACCATAAGCTCAAGCAAAAGACTGTAGGGCATTACACTTGAAAAGCCAGTCTGAACAGGTGGGTACACTGGCAGTGAGGCACACACTCCAGGCATCCTTTTCTTCCTCTCCGCTTAGATTTCCCCCATATCAGCACCAGAAACAGATTTGTGAGCAATTGGTGCTCCCCACAGCCTCCTCCTCTGTGTTCAGCTGCTCTGTGCTGCCTGAGGACTTCACTATTTACTTTGTCCAGTGGAGGAAAGGGTGGTGTGGGCTGCTGACATATAGCTGATGATAGCAATGTGGTTGTTACAGTGAAGAATGACTGGAGATTAAATTAGGCTAAAAGCCTAAGAGTTTTTGTTTTTCGTCTGTGTTTTAATAGGGGTTCTGTTTTTCAGTGCATTCATCTGTGGTACGTTTATGCTTGTTCATATTCAGGGCCACCTGGAGAGCCGTGGTCTAAAGTGTAATTGTAATACTCGTTAACAGCGTTTTGGGCTGACCTGGTAATCTTCACTCTGTTATAGTGTATAAATGAGTCTTAACAGTCGGGCCTGGGCTGACCAGATCTTACACCCAAAATAGAAGGACAAATGCAGTATAACATGATATACAGTACACGGTATGTCTCTGTGCTCATCTGGGTCATTCCCTTCTAAATCGGAGCTTTGGATCTTGTTCCCAGCGAGTCACACTTGATATGTCCTGTCCAAGCAGCCCCGTGTTGACCTCCCCCCCGACCGTTAGGGAAACGGGAAGCTGCTCAGCAGTTAATCGTTTTCTGAAATAGAAGAAAGATGCAATACAGGCAGTGATATGCAGCTATATGACAGTCAGCTAAAGCAGAGGAGGAATCCACAGGACCTGTAGCACAGGTTTTTATATCATGAAAGTGACCTCCATTGGCAACTCGGTAAACTTGTGGTTGCCTGCAGCACCACCTACTTAACTCGCATGATGACTCATCAGAAACACCTGATCCTTGCCCTGCTATACGTTACCTGTCTGCCTTTGTCACTAATACCGTCGTCACCTGACATCAAGCTTTTGGTAAAGCTGCTAATGCCAGATGGATGTGAGGTTGACCTCAGAGAAAATCACTGAGTGCCTTGTGTGTTAATTGACTGTGTAAATGACAAACTGACACATTTAAAGCCACTAATTCGATAACACTGGAGGCTTGATCATTGCTAGCACACTTCATGGTTGGCGCCTTAAAGCTCTTCGTCATCTCAAGTTTTAAGTTACTGTTGAATGTAGTTTTTCCAATACAGACACTGTTGTACAAACTAAAATTACATCCATCTATCTACTTTAAATATAGCTGGGCAAGAATGTCAAGTTACTCTCCTGTTGGGGATTACCAGAGCAAACACAAACTGGGTTGTTAGTTATTTAACGTTTAGGAGTGTAACAGAATGTATTTCTACAGGGGCAGTGGATGGGACAGAAACATGTGAAAGTATGGCAGAATAATTCACTCTCACGGAGTGTATGTGGTTGTATCTTTGAAAGCTGAATAACAGTGAACAATGTGTCTGACCTGTTTTTAATAGATGCTCTGCTGCCACCCAGTGTCACACACGGGCAGAGCAATTCCATACAATTAAGAAACCACAAATGGGAATTTAGCTTAAGAATTTTGAATACCATCAGATTAGAATTAAATTAAGAAGGCAAATTTTCAAATGTATCATTCTATAAAATGTGCTTTACATGACTGATGGCTATATTTTGCAATAGGAACAGCTGATGCCTCGACCAGCCACTTGTTTTGTGCCTCGTTCAACGTCAGTATGCAACCTTGCATCATCTACGACATTCATCTGATAGAAGTGTTCAGGCATCAGACAAGACGTGTCCACACGCTCCACAATGACAGAAAAAAAGAAAGTTTACTGATTTAATGTGATTTATACGTGTAAAAATCACCTTTTTATTTCTATTTTCCATTCAACCAAATCAGTATGAAGTGGGCACCTATTTCACCCATTAAGCGATCATCTTATAAAATAAGGTAAAGCTTATCGCACTTTATTGATCCGTTTCCATGACCACAGATGTACAATACAGTTGACTTGTAGGCAATGACAAAGCAGATTAAAAGTTTGTCTGTGGTGTCTGGTCTCAGTCATAATAATATAGTTACAAGCGCCTGATCGTGAAGAAACAAAAAAGGTACACGGGCATATTTACAAGCTTTCCTTCCGTGACTCGGCCCCGACACTCGCACGAGCGTGCTGCCGCTACAACACTAGAAGACAATAGAGCTGGATTTTATTTTGTCTTTTTTTTTTTTTTTTTTTACACAGTCATCTTTAATGTGCGATCCATCAACCCAACGTTACTGTGATCTATTTCATTTGACCAGAGTATAGTTCGAAAGGAATGGAGGAATTTCTTATGTTTAATACTAATAATAAAAACAATCCAGTCTAAAACTCAATAAGCTTAACAGGGGACTGCAATCAGTGGCATGTATGGAGTGGACACATGTGTGTTCAGTTGATATCAATAATTCGATGCAAGAGAAAGGAAGAGGAAACGAGGGTGGACAACAACATTTAGTCTCCTTTTGTTTGTTTTTCCATCTTTCTAACATTCCACTTAGTGAAAAAAGGCAAACAAGAGCGTAAGAGAGAGAGAGAGATGGCCAGAAAGGACAGCGTTAAACCCCAAATCCCTCCTCTGTGACCTCTAGCCAGCTCACATTAGTCCGTGTTCTACACTCTTCTCCTGGACCACTCCAAAGTCTGCCACCGTTTACTTGGAGAGCTTCTTCATCCTCTGATCTAGTGACCCAAAGTTCTCTTCTACAGCCACCAGATTTTCCTTCATTGTCAGTTGGACCTTTGGGAGAAGGGGGGGGGGGGGGGGGCAGCATGTTAGGTAACAGGTGAAACAAACAACTAGCATAATGTAAATCAAAGGAGCTCACAGAAGGGAGAACCTGGTTAGATATGCAGGAAGATCAAACATTCACCGGTTCCAGATTCTCAAATGGGAAAATTTGTTTATTATAAATTGAATATAGTTGGTTGGACAAAACAAGACATTTGAAGACTAAATCCCGACTGGTTACTTAAATATTACAGCTGGAACAAATAGTCAATGCATTGATGACTTTGTACTATTAGTTTGACAAAACCAGCCCATTGGGCTCTCAGTGAAAGTGACATCGTTAACATTTTATGGACTCTATGATTGAACAAAGTAATCAACAATAAAATCATCATTAGTTGACACCCTATGAAATATATTTACACAGCTGTCATGCATGTGTAAGGTTAAGTTCACAGGGAGTTAAAAACATAATTACTGAAACTGTTATTGGGAGCCATCATTGTGAGGCTGCAGAAGACCTTTCTGTGATGTGTGCGTGTCATTGTTAGATTTAACAACCTTCTAGAAGCCAAAGGATACCTCACACCTCAGAACACAACGCAGATCTATCAAGAGTAAATTGAAACATTTTCTGACTCCAGATGTTTCTGTAGACTAATAGGTAAGAGCACATTTTTACCTCACAAGATGCAGTTTAGTCGTTTGACTTCAGAAAGAGATTCGTATGAAATCTTTTTGGCCCCACCATTGAGACAAGCGAGCATTTCTATGGGCCTCGTTAACGTCTCTTTGTTCGGAGTAAATTGATTTACGTTTTCCCGATTGTTCAATGGATCTTGAACTTCCTACCTGTGTTAGCAGAGTGTTGTTGTCCTTCAGAGAGTTGTTGATCATCTGCTGAGTGGTGTCCAGGTGGGTCAACAGCTGGCCAAACTGCATGGCTACGAGACGCCGGTGAAGTTGGATCAAGTGAAATGGAGGCGAGAGAAAAAAAGAAGCAGTTAGACGGAGTATTAGTTCACTCATTTACAAAATTGTGGTTAAAAATGCAATGTTGTCTTTGCTCTTAACTAAAGTGAAGGAGAGTAAAGACTAATGTGAAACTGATGAAAGACTTGAAAGATGAAACTGTATTTCCTTTGACTTCATTGGTAAAGAAAGATCAGGAGAGAGTGCAGCTAAAACTCATTGGCTGCAGACTGTGACAGATTGCTGCAAAGTGATTCCGGCTGATAAATGACCTCTTTCAGCACCCACGAATGAATCATCAATATAATCTATTAATGCCAAGGTTCTGCTTTCATGTGCTAAATAACAAAAAGATGATAATGTGATAGATATACATCATGCATCTCTTTCTCCCCGAGGGTTAGGGTTTAACAGTATTGCTAGATTTAGTCTAATTCTATTACCATCTGGAGACTCCCTCTCAGTGATTCTTCTGCCCTTTGTTATAATAGAAAGGCATGGTTTAGGCTAATTCCATTATCCGTTTGAATCCCATTTTCGCTTCGTTTTCTTCTTTTGTCTCGCACTCCAGACGTCCCCCATTGCAAATGCAAATCTTTCCGGCCGCATATTACTTCCCAGCCCAGACGTGCTTGAAACGTGATGCGGGTTCCCAACCTGTTATGTTCTGTAGCTACATCCTACACACACCCTCCCACTAACCTACATACATCCTCTCCTTGAACTCCCGTGGGTGTCATTTCAAGGTTCTCTTCCTCTCACATTAAAGAGCAGAACATAAATTATAAAAGTTTTCATCATTAGGATCCTTACTGGGGGGGCAATCTGCCCCTTGAGCAATAATATTATAATAATTGCAATATGTACCAATTACTCCATGGCACTACGTTCATATAATGTTATTGCGTGAAGTGAAAACAGATAATATTGGCTCATGGCTGAGAGAGTCATGCGAGGACGCGCAGCAGAGCAAGCGTTGGTCGACCACCTTGTTCCCGTGCGTTACCTTGTTCATGCAGCTCCTTCACAGCGACGAGCCTTTGCACCACCTGAGGCACAGAGGTGGACATGGCATCCCACTTCTGCACCACGTCATAAAGCTGCGACACCTGGCAGGAAAACACACACAAGCACATTTAATACCCAGATAAACCCTGCCAGCTACAATAACACGTTTGATTTAATCTTAGTTTCATGATGCAATATGTACTGTACTGTAAATGATACCTGCATTTATTATAACAAGCAGAATTACCTTCATTAAAACTCAACTTCTTATGGCTGAAGACACTAGTCTGTTTTTTTGGGGGTCCCATGATGTTATCAGACATGATCACAGCTTTTAAATTCTTCTTTTTACTAGTAATGAAGTCATGCACACTGTTTACTATATCACAATCAAATTACACTACAGTGTCTCAAAGAATCAAACAGCATTGTCAAATAACCCAATGTATCAAGACTTTGGCATTCCTCATAATAATATCTTAACATGCCCTGCCCTCTACTGGCCTTTTATGTGTACAGCACGTTAAAACAGTCGACGCCAAAGAGGCACGAGATCGTTGCCTGGTAGTCATGCAGATCTCACAGCAGAGTCCATCATGAAAACCTGAAATAACCCTGGTGATAAAACGTTGGTTTGGCTCCGACTGCTTCCAGGCTGAGCCAGCTGTTTGTTAAAAGACAGCAGGACACTCACATTTACCATGTGTTGCTACTCCTCAGTCTGGCTGCCGGGCTTTGTCAAGCGCTAGCAAACGTTTTCCAACTGAATATCTTGTCACTAAGACTGAACCAGCAAGATTATTACTATTTTATACGACTTGCTGATAAAAGCTCAACTCTTCGGAACTTTGTGTGAAAGCATCCGAGATAATTGCTGCACTTAGCTGGCGCTGCTGGATGTGCGCTGTGCAGGGATTACAGACCTTGTTCTGTGTCTCGGCATCCTCAATCGCTGCCTTGTGTTTAGCGATCTCATTCATCTTCCCGAGGACGCTCTAAATGGGAGAGAGAGAGAAAAAAAAAAAAAAAGAAGTAATTTATTCTTTTTGTGTACCGTTTTAGAGGCATTCAGATACATTACAGACAAACATAGATTAGACTCATGGCAATGCTGTGGAAGATTGACAGGCGGGCAACACAACGTATTTACAAAAGTTACAAATACATTTTCAAGTATTTATCAGTATTTCAACCCCAGAGCAAAAGCGCTCTCTCTCTCTCTCTCTCTCTCTCTCTCTCTCTCTCTCTCTCTCTC